AACAGCTATGATATCCCTTGTTCCACGTCCTCTTCTGAATCCGGCTTGAACCTCTGGAGGTTCTCTATCAATATACTGCTGCAAACGTTTCTGAATTATCTTCAGTAAGATCTTACTTGCATGTGATATTAATGATCTTCTCTTTAGTTGTTCATAACTCCAGTATCATTATATCTATCTGATTTATCTAGTTACTCAGGGATTAAGTTGGAAGAGGGATCAAATGTGTGGATAATAGATAAAACACCATCTTCTCAGACCCTGGTTCCCTGGTTTCAATGCTATGTTGTTCTCACGTGTCACTCTCAGTCAGGCATGCTCAGACCTGGTGTGTTGCTTGCCAACCTGTTGTTACTTTTCAGGGATGTTTACACAGTATCACTGTCTCAAGCAGTATATTTCTTGATAATCTCTTCCAGATCTTCCCAATCTGGGATGTTGCTAGTAGCCATCCCAAAATGGCCATGTTTTGGGGGTTAGAAGTTAGATTGTGGATGACCTGTTACTCCTCATTTCTCTTCTGTCCTTGTTCTAGCTCTCCTTCTAGCTGGTATTCAGTTTGTTTCTTCAATGCTTCATTTGATGTTCAAAGGTGTGAGATCACCATTTGCATCTGTTCTTGGTTGTTTATACAGGACTTTGTTGTAGAGGGATATTATGGCCCATCTAACTGCACCTCTATCTTGACCTCTCCCTGGCTTTAGGATGCTTAATTTTTTTATAATATTAACAAAATATTAGAGAATTCTTACTCTTGATCATTTTTTTTCCTTTCTCCTCTCTCACACAGTATATTTCCAGTGGTTATTATTGTAGTTGTTGTTACGTGCCATCAAGTTGGTTCTGATTCATCTCAATCCTGTGTAAAACAGAAAGAAACATTGCCCAGTCCTGTCCCACTTTTACAGTCCTTGCTATGCTTGAGCCCATCGTTGCAACCACTGTGTCAATACATCTCATTGAGGGTCTACCATTTTTTACTGACCCTCTACTTTACCAAGCATGATATCCTTTGCAGGAACTTGTTCCTCCTGACTACATGAGCAAAGTATTTGAGAGGAAGCCTGGCCATTCTTGCTTTTAAGTAGCATTCTGGCTGTACTTCTTCCAGGACAAATTTGTTCTTCTGGCAGTCCATAGTATTTTCCATATTCTTCAACAGCACCACAATTCAAATGCATCAGTTCTTCTGCTGTCTTCCTTATTTGTTGTCCAGCTTTCACTTGCATATGAGGAAATTGAAAGTATTATGGCGTGGGTCAGGTGCACTTTAGTCTTCAAAGTGACATCTTTGCTCTTTAACACTTTAAGAAGTTATTTTGCAGCAAATTTGGCCACTGTAATACATCATCTGATGTCTTGACTACTGCTTCCATGGGAATTGATTGTGAATCCAAGTAAAATAAAATCCATGACAACTTCATCTTTCTTCTGTTTGTCATGATGTTGCTTATTTGTACAGTTCTGAGGATTTTTGTTTTCTTTATGTTAAGGTGTAATCCATACTGAAGGCTATAGTGTTTGATATTCTTCAGTAGATGCTTCAAGTCATTTTCACTTTCACTGAGCAGGGTTGTCTCATCTGCATGTTGCAGGTTGTTAATGAGTCTTCTTTCAATCCCGATGCCACACTGTTCTTCATATAGTCCAGCTTCTCAAATTATTTTCTCAGTATACAGATTGATTAAGTATCCTGAAAGGACACACACCTTTTCTGATTTTAAATCATTGAGTATGCCCTTGTTCTGTTCAAACAACTGCCTGTTGGTCTATGTACAGGTTCCCCATGAGCACAATTAAGTGTTCTGGAATTCCTTTTCTTCCCAGTGTTATGCATAATTTGTTATGTTTCACATAGTTGAATGCCTGTGTATAGTCAATAAAACACATGTAAACATCTTTCTGCTATTCTTTCCTTTCAGCCAAGATCCATCTGACATTAGCAGTGTTATCCCTCATTTCATGTCCTTTTCTGAATCCACCTGGCATTTCTGGAAGTTTCCTGTCAGTATACTACTGCAACCATTTTCTAATTATCTTTAGGAAAATTTTACTTGTATGTGATATTAATGATACTCTTTGATAATTTGCATGTTCTGTTAGATCATTTTCCTGTGGAATGGGCACAAATAATGGATCTCTTCCAATTGACTGACTAGGTAACTGTCCTTAAAATTTCTTGGAATAAAAAGTGGATACCCCAAGCACTGCATCCATTTATTGCGACATCTCACTGAGTATTCCATCAACTCCTAGAGCCTTGTTTTTCACTGATTCCTTTAGTGCAGCCTGGACTTATTCCTTCAATACCATTGGTTCTTGATCGAATGCTACCTCTTTAAATATTTGAACATCGACCAATTCTTTTCGGTACAGTGAATCTGTGTATTCTTTCCATCTTCTTTTGATGCTTCCTGCATCATTGAATATTTTACCCATGTTGTTGTTGTTGTTGTGTGTCATCGAGTCAGACCCGACATAGTGATCCCTCCTTGGGTTTCTGAGGCAATATCACTATGGAACTATCAATCTACGGAAGTAGATTGCCCCATCTTCCTTGCAAGGAGTGGCTGGTGGGTTTGAACTGCCAGCCTTCTGGTTAGCAGTCAAGTGCCTTAGACGTTATGCTACCAGAGCTCCCATATTTTACCCATAGAATCCTTCAATATTGCAAATCCAGGCTTGCATTTTTTCTTCAGTTCTTTCAGCTTGAGAAATGCTGAACATAGTTTTCCCTTTTGGTGTTCTAATTCCAGAACTTTGCACATTTGATTATAATATTTTACTTTGTCTTCTCAAGCCATCCTTTGAAATCTTCTGTTCAGCTGTTTTATTTCATCATTTCTTCTATTCACTTTAGCTACACTCCATTCAAGAGCAAGTTTCAGAGTCTCTTCTGACATCAATTTTGGTCTTCTCTTCCTTTCTTTTTTTTTTTTTTTTTTTTTTTTTTTTTTTTTTTTTTGACCTTTTGCTTTCTTCATGGATGATGTTCTTGATGTCGTTGTCATCCCACAACTCATCTGATTTGATTTGGTCATTCGTGTTCAGTGCATAAAATCTGTTCTTGTGATGGTTTCTAAATGCAGGTGGGATATAATCAGGGTCTTATTTTGGCTCTTGTAGATATGTTTTAATTTTTCTCAGCTTCAACCTGTGCCCTCAGAGAACAGGCACAGCTAATGCAAGATCATTATTCCTTGTAAGACATACATGGATTGTACATGCCCAAATGTGTATAATTTCCGTTATCTTTAATTGCTTTAGATGCTTGGAATGTTGTGAATTTACTTTAAAAGAGTTATTAAAATGAATTCCATGTGCAACTGTTGATTGCTGGAGGTTTTAGGGACCCCATATTTTTTGCGATCTGCAGGGACTTAGGTTTGGCTCTGGCCTGTTTTTACTGTTTATCAACAAGACCCTTGGGGCAGGAATCTCTTAGGTAGCAGAGAACACACAGAATCCTTCAGGTTTTACCTGCTACCATGACTAGTAATACCAGAGAAGTAAAATATTTTGCCTAGAGCATCACAATAAACCGCTAGCAAACTGAAGATTAAATTTATGAGCTTATTTCTGTTGAACCTGGGCCCCGAAGTCTTGATGGTGCCCTGGACACCCTCACGCCCAACCCCCACTGAGCACATCCCATCCTTGGAGGCAGCACACTACCAAGGGTATCTCCAAGCAAAAGAATAAAGCCCTACAGTGTTTACTTTTGCTGGACAGTGCAGTGAAAGGCATTTGTAAGTGAGTGTTTTGGGTGAGGCCACTGTGTGCCCCTGAGGTATGCATACAGACACTCTCATAAGATAAGGGTCCTTTCCAGATCCCGAGATGTGCATGTGGACACTCCAGGGCACCATATCAGAAAAAAAGTTTTGTTCATCCCCTGAGGTATACAGGTGAGTCCTCTTGGGCATCATGTAGGAAGGAAGAGAGTTCTTCACAGCTCCTGAGGTGTGCATGAGAGTCTTCCCAGGCTCCTTGTAATAGGAGGTCCTCCCTAAAATGGCCTGTCCCTGAATTTGGTTTCTGGGGTCTACAGGTAGACTGAATCCCAAACAAGCATGGAACTCAACTAGAAAATGCATACAAAACAAGTATGCATTGATGGTCTTATGTTTACATTCCAGAGTGCAAATTCACCTGCACCAGCGGAAAGTGCTTGTATCTTGGTTCATTGGTCTGCAACCAGCGGAATGACTGTGGGGACAACAGTGATGAGGAAAACTGTCTCCTGGTGACTGAGCATCCGCCCCCAGGGATCTTCAACTGTAAGTGCCTCCTGCATCAAGTTGGATTGTGTTTTTGAAATGGTTAAGTGTTCAGGTCTTCAGCCAATGGGAAATACACTGTTTTGTGCTTAAGGAAAGATGTATATTTTCACAAAGGAAATATTTATTTTAGGATAGAAAGATAGTGTGTCTCAAAGTGGAAAGTTGTTCTCAGGAGCAGTCTGAGGCCCTTTGTTTTGAAATGGCTTTTGCTGTGGATCTGAAAATTTCTGATGAGCTCCAAGACCTCAACACAAGTCAGTCTAGTGATCTCTGAACCAGCTCTTAGAACTTTCTAAAAGTAGTCACTGAGGAAGTCATTTTATTTTTTTTATTTTTTATTTTTTTATTAGGATTTGGGTGAAGATTTACAGAGTAAATTCACTTTTCATACAGCAGTTCACATATACTT